GTTTGAGACCAACCTGAGCAACATGGCGAAACCCCATCTCTACTAAAAATACAAAAATTGATCCTGGCTACTCAGGAGGCTAAGGCAGGAGAATTGCTTGAACTTGGGAGGCATAGGTTGCAGTGAACTGAGATCGTGCCGCTGGAATCCAGCCTGGATGACAGAGTGAGACTCCGTCTCAGGTTAGGCATGGTGGCTCGCTCTTGTAATCCCAGCACTTTGGGAGGCCAAGTCGTGTGAATCACTTGAGCCCAGGAGTTTGAGATGAGCCTGGGCAATATGGCAAAACCCCACTTCTACAAAAAATATAAAAATTAGCTGGGTGTGGTGGCGCACACCGGTAGTCCCAGCTACTCAGGAGGCTGAGGGAGGAGGATCGCTTGAGTCCAGGAGGTTGAGGCTACGGTGAGCTGTGATAGGGCCATGACACTCCAGCCTGGGTGACAGAGTGAGACCCTGTCTCAAAAATAATGCTAATAAAGATTATTTAATGCTAGATATACGTGTGGCTAGGTCTTCATCCTAGGTCCCCTTAGTGATAGAAGATACATTATTAACATTTTCCTGTGCCTCTGCATAATTTTAGGGTTGACTTTGATAAAGATTGTGAAGATCCTGAATATAAACCACTCCAAGGTCCCCCAAAGGACCAAGATGATGAGGTAAGGAATTCTCATTTGAGTCTCACTTTTCTCTCTTACTAGTTTTAAGTCTTCTCCCATTCTCTGAATCTTGAAGTATATTGGTTAATTTATAATACAAAGTGGAAAATGAATTATACCATTTGAGAATAGAAAGTATTAATGGAAAAGATTATAATGCCAGTCGGGGGAGATCAGGGATAACTTTTTGGAGGAGCTGGACATTGAAGGATATTATTTGACTAATAAATTCCTGACTTCTATTATCTTCGAGTCATTAATAGGAACTGACCTTTCAGGTTCTATTTTCTTGTTCTTTTAGTTGGTTGTTACCAAGTTTTTGTGGGGTACATTTCTTTAGAAGTTTTTCTTGATCCCTTGGTGCCGTAGAAGGACACACAAGAAAGTGATTTCAGAGTGCCAACTTCCCCCCCTTTCCCTCCCCGCTCCATCCTATTGGGTGGATCTCCTTCTCTAGGGTGATCCCTTGATGATGATGGATGAGGAGATCTCAGTGATTGATGGAGATGAAGGTAAACTTCTAGGTCAACTAGTATAATTCTGTGTGGGGTGGTGGGTTGGGGAATTATTCACTGAATTCTGTCCTCTCCTGGGATTTCTAAGAGCTTTGCCTTTGGGTGGGTTAAAATACTAGTATTGCCTCTACTACCCTTGCTATACTTCCTATTCATTCTACTTTGTTTTCCACAGCCCCGGTGACCCAACAGCCCGGCCATTTCTTCTGGCCTCCAGGCTCTGCCCTAACAGCTAGACTTCGGCGCCTAGTAACAGCATATCAGCGCAGCTACAAGAGAGAACAGATGAAGATAGAGGCTGCAGAACGTGGGGACCGGCGAAGGCGGCGTTGTGAAGCAGCCTTCAAGCTGAAAGAAATTGCACGGCGGGAGAAACAACAACGGTAAAATATAGCTGGGAACCTGTGCTGATCTGTGTCTTCAGTTATGGTCCCTATACTGAAAGCCATCTCAGGAAGGATTTATTTGGAATTCTCTAAAGAGGGACCATTTTTTCCGCTTTGGGTGGTTAAACCTGTAGAAATTAAAACCTCACTTGTGTACAGTAATCATTAACTCTCAGGTAGGCCTCCTGTATAGACATTCTCATTGATATTTGCCTGTGCCATTTTCCCCCTTGGCTCTGTAATTCTTACTCGTTACAGAGTACCTCTCACTGCTTCTTCTGGGCCTTTCCTTTTTTTTTTTTTTTTTTTTTTTGCGTCTACTTTCAATTTTTGTGTTTTCAGATATTCTAAAACACATTAAAAAATAACCAGTTTTCTTGTGTTCTTCTGATTATTGTTGCCCTACTTTTCCTTTTGTAGATGGACAAGGCGTGAACAAACTGATTTTTATCGAGTGGTGTCTACGTTTGGTGTGGAATATGACCCTGACACCATGCAGTTCCATTGGGATCGCTTCCGCACTTTTGCTCGCCTAGACAAAAAAACAGATGAAAGCCTTACCAAGTACTTCCATGGCTTTGTGGCCATGTGCCGCCAAGTATGCCGCCTTCCCCCAGCAGCTGGAGATGGTAAGCAGGATTGCAGAGTGGGTGGGGATGGACGCCAACAGAAGCAACTCTGTTAATTTCTTCTTCTATTCCTGTCTCTTGCAGAACCCCCAGACCCTAATCTGTTCATTGAGCCCATCACTGAGGAGAGGGCCTCACGGACTCTTTACCGTGTAGAATTGCTTCGGCGCTTACGGGAACAAGTTTTATGCCACCCCCTTTTGGAAGATCGACTGGCATTGTGTCAGCCTCCTGGTCCTGAATTGCCCAAATGGTGGGAGCCTGTTCGGCATGATGGGGAGCTTCTACGAGGGGCAGCCCGCCATGGGGTCAGCCAAACAGACTGCAACATCATGCAGGACCCAGACTTCTCTTTTCTGGCTGCCCGTATGAATTATATGCAGAACCATCAAGCAGGAGCACCAGCTCCATCCTTGTCACGCTGCTCTACTCCACTGCTGCACCAGCAGTATACCTCACGCACTGCCTCACCATTGCCCCTGCGTCCAGATGCTCCTGTTGAAAAGTCACCCGAGGAGACAGCTGCCCAGGTCCCCAGTCTGGAGAGTCTGACTTTAAAGCTAGAGCATGAGGTGGTGGCCAGGAGCCGACCAACCCCACAAGACTATGAGATGCGAGTAGCCCCCTCTGATACTACCCCTCTGGTTTCTCGGAGTGTTCCACCAGTCAAACTGGAGGATGAGGATGATTCAGACTCTGAGCTGGACTTGAGCAAGCTGTCACCATCATCATCTTCTTCCTCATCCTCATCCAGCTCCAGCTCCAGCACTGATGAGAGTGAGGACGAGAAGGAAGATAAGCTAAGTGAGTGCATGCGACAGGCTGTTGGCCCTCTTCCCTGTTTCCCCCTCTCTTCTCTTTCCCTTTTCGAAATGCATCCTCTTGAGAGAGATTTTGATTTTGATTTGATAAAATGTTAAAAGAGACCTGTTATTCTTTAGGCCTTTATTCAAAGCGCATATAATATCATTACTATATGACATTATTCTTCCATCTTTTCTCACACATTCTGTGGGATCTCTTACCAGCTGACCAGTCCCGCTCAAAGCTCTATGATGAAGAGAGTCTCCTGTCCCTCACCATGTCCCAAGATGGGTTCCCAAATGAAGATGGAGAACAAATGACCCCTGAGCTTCTGCTACTGCAAGAAAGACAAAGAGCCTCTGAGTGGCCCAAGGTAACAAACAGCCTCATCCCTGGACATGTAGAGTCCAGAAATACAGTGTAACATTATATCCAGGGAACAAGGAACATATGGTTCTGGTTTTTTTTTTTGTTTTTTGTTTTTTGTTTTTTTTTTGAGATGGAGTCTCGCTCTGTTGCCCGGGCTGGAGTACAGTGGCGGAATCTCAGCTCACTGCAAGCTCCGCCTCCTGGGTTTACACCATTCTCCTGCCTCAGCCTCCTGAGTAGCTGGGACTACAGGCGCCCGCCACCACGCCCGGCTAGCTTTTTGTATTTTTTAGTAGAGACGGGGTTTCACCAAGTTACCCAGGATGGTCTCGATCTCCTGACCTCATGATCCGCCCGTCTCGGCCTCCCAAAGTGCTGGGATTACAGGCTTGAGCCACCACGCCCAGCCTGGTTTTGGTTTTTTAAAATTGTGTTTATTGCTGCATTTTTTTTTTTTTCCCCAGGAAACTTCCCAGTCAACTTAGGAATCTTAGTAGTATTAACTTCCTCCTTTCTGCCTTATGATTTTTACCCATCCTGGTAGTGATGGCGCTGTTGAGTATCACAGGATCACACAGCTAGTACTCAGACTCTTAAAATGGTATTTCTTTCTTTCCCCATTCAGGATCGTGTCCTGATAAACCGTATTGACCTCGTCTGCCAGGCCGTACTCTCAGGGAAGTGGCCTTCTAGCCGTAGGAGCCAGGAAATGGTAACAGGAGGAATTCTGGGGCCAGGCAACCACTTGCTAGACAGTCCCTCATTGACTCCTGGAGAATATGGTGACTCTCCAGTCCCCACACCACGAAGTAGTAGTGCAGCTTCCATGGCAGAGGAGGAAGCATCCGCAGTCACCACAGCGGCAGCCCAGTTCACCAAACTTCGCCGAGGAATCGATGAAAAGGAGTTTACAGTTCAAATCAAAGATGTAAGCTCAGCATATGGGCATTGGGAAGTGGGGAAGGAGGCTGGAATCCTTGCTGTAACTAATTTTACTAATAGGTTACTAAACTCATTTGGTTAGCTAATTTAAAAAATGAGAACACAGAGCTTACAAAGATCTATTTAGGAAGAGTCATTTTTCCTGGTTGTTTTCCTTATTGAACCCTATTGATTATTAATCCTATTAATATTCAACAATAAAAAGTTTCTTAAATTAGTATGTTTAGAAATAGCAGGATTTTGCCCCTGTGATGAATTGCCATGCTAATACGGAGACACCAGGTAGGGAGTTTTACCCTGCATTGGGTGTTGTTGAAATAAACTCTTTCTCGTAAATGCTGAGGGGCACTAGGTGAAGAAGTGAAATCTTTCTAAGGAAAAAGTGTATATGTTTTCTTGTATTTCTAATTTTACCCTTTAGTCAGATGGCCTTCCTTCTCACCATCATTGGGCAAGAGGATGATTTATAGCCCACATCCCTCAAAGCTTAATCTTTACTTTGAAAAACATGTACCATATGATGTCTTGAGTGGGTGGCTTGTCTTCCTAGGAGGAAGGATTGAAGTTAACATTCCAGAAGCACAAGTTGATGGCGAATGGAGTAATGGGAGATGGACATCCACTGTTTCATAAGAAGAAGGGGAACAGAAAGAAGCTGGTAGAGGTGGGTGGTAGAGAAAGTCTTTAACCTAATGATTAGATTATCTTTTTATTCCCAATAATTGATGAAGGCAGTGGGATTGAGGGAATGGAAAATACTAGAGTCATTTCATGACTACCATTGGCTCTGCTCCCCCTCCCTACCTCCCCCAAAGAAGAGTATGTGCTCATGGGGGTGGATTCTGGGTTTGCAGCTGGAGGTGGAGTGCATGGAAGAGCCTAATCACCTTGATGTGGACCTGGAGACCCGGATCCCCGTCATCAATAAGGTGGATGGTACTTTGCTGGTGGGTGAGGATGCCCCTCGCCGGGCTGAACTGGAGATGTGGTTACAGGGTCATCCAGAGTTTGCTGTTGATCCCCGATTTCTAGCGGTGAGTGGCAGTCCCATCCAGCAAGATTTAAAGTCATTCCTTCGGTATTTAAGCTGCATGAGAAAGAGAAAGTATGAGATACTATATCATCATTTCTGTATCTGCAAGATAAGGGTAATAATTAGTAATACCCAGTCTTCCAACCTTACAGTTGTGATGCCCAAAATAAAATAATGTTGAAGTACCTTAAGTGCTAGGCAAATATTTACTATTGAACTATTATATAAACCACCTAATATTTTTTGGAGAGATCCCACTTAATGGCAGTTTTCCACTAGGATTAATCCTTTATCTATGTAATAAGCATTTATCATCAAACAAAAGACACTAGTACTTTAATAATTACTCCACAGAAAATTTCTATTCCTGTAGGATAACTGACTTTTTTCTATTGCAGTATATGGAAGATCGCAGAAAACAGAAGTGGCAAAGATGTAAAAAAAATAATAAGGCAGAATTGAACTGTTTGGGAATGGAACCAGTACAGACAGCTAACTCTAGAAATGGGAAAAAGGTGAGAGAAATTGCAGCATTACCACTCTGTTCCCACACTAGAAGTGACATTAAAGGCTTTCAATGATGATTGTGACTAATGTTATTTATCTTTTTTCCTATGTATGTTTCTGTGAAAAATTATCTTGCGTTCACCAATAAGGAAACCAGTTTTTTTGTTTTTTGGTTTTGGTTTTGGTTTTGGTTTTGAGACAGAGTGTCACTCTGCTGTCGCCCAGGCTGGAGTGCAGTAGTCCAATCTTGGGTGCAATCTTGGGTTCCAGCATTCTCCTGCGTCAGCCTCCTGAGTAGCTGGGATTACAGGCACCTGCTACTGCGCCTGGCTAATTTTTGTATTTTTAGTAGAGATGGGGGTTTCACCATCTTGGCCAGGCTGGTCTTGAACTCCTGACCTTGTGATCCACCCACCTTGGCCTCCCAAAATGTTGGGATTACAGGCTTGAGCCACTGCACCCGGCCTTAAGTTTTCTAATTCTATATATTTTAGAAGTGTTTGGACAGGTCTACTAAGGAAAATAGTCATGAGATTTCCCAATATATAAAAGGTTGAGAATCACTAATAATATGTCAGTAATGGAAAAAGCAGAGGAAACTATGTTTTATAATTTGTAATAATAAATTTGGCCATTAAGTTATTCTATATTTTCAAATTTACTTATACTTTTATGATGGATAATAGGCCATTTGATGGATTAAGTACCCATGGTTTCTTCTTTCCACCAGATTACAACTGCAAAGGTTTCTCTTGGCTATGCTTACCTTACTTTCTGCAATAGTTGTATTTTTTTTTAATTTTTTATTTTTTTGAGACAGAGTCTTGCCCTGTCACCCAGGCTGGAGTGCAGTGGCACAATCTCAGCTCATGGCAACTTCTGCATCCCCGGTTCAAGTGATTCTCTTGCCTCAGCCTCCCGAGTAGCTGGGACCACTGGTGCATGCTACCATGCCCAGCTAATTTTTGTATTTTTAATAGAAAGAAGGTTTGCCATGTTGGCCAGAGTCTTCTCAAACTCCCAACCTCAGGTGATCCACCTGCCTCAGCCTCCCAAAGTACTGGGATTACAGGCATGAGCCACTGTGCCCGGTCAATAGTAATTTTTTTTTTCTTTGAGACAGAGTCTCGCTCTGTTGCCCAGGCGGAGTGCAACGGACTGATCTCAGCTCACTGTAGTAACCTCCACCTCCCAGGTTCAAGTGATTCTCCTGCCTCAGCCTCCCAAGTAGCTGGGATTACAGGTGCGTGCCACCACGCCCAGCTAATTTTTGTATTTTTAGTAGAGACGGGGTTTCACTATGTTGGTCAGGCTGGTCTCGAACTACTGACCTCGTGATCTGCCTCAGCCTCCCAAAGTGTTGGGATTACAGACGTGAGCCACAGCACCTGGTCAATAGTTGTATTTTTAAAGCATACATAAATCATTGTTTGGTAGAGTCATTTAAAATGGATTAGCACTTGCCTTATCTAATCATTCCCCCATTTGATCTTCTACAGAAATCTTTACACACATATAGTCATCCCTCGGTATCTGTGAGGGATTGGTTCCAGGACCCCCGCAGATACCAGAATCCGTGGCTGCTGAAGTCCTTTATATATAAAATGGCGTAGGGGCAGGTGTGGTGGCTCTTACGTGTAATCCCAGCACTTTGGGACGCTGAGGCAAGAGGATCACTTGTACCCAGGAGTTCAAGACCAGCCTGGGGACCCCACTGGGACCTTATCTCTACAAAAAATAAAAAAAATTAGCTGGGCCTGGTGGTGCAAGCCTGTAGTCTCAGCTATGGGGAAGCTGAGGCAGGAGGATCACTTGAGCCCAGAGGCTGAGGCTGCAGTGAGCCATGATGATGCCACTGCACTCCAGCCTGGGCAATAGAGTGTGAGACCCTGTCTTAAAAAAATAAATAAATAAATAAATAAAAATAAAATAAAATCATGTAGTATTTCCATGTAACCTACACACTTCCTCTGATATACTTTAATCTCTTGATTACTTATAATACCTAACACAATATAAATGCTATGTAAATAGTTGTTACACTGTATTGTTTTAAAATTTGTATTATTCTCTTTTTATTTTTTAGTTTTTTTTGTTGTTTTCAAATATTTTCAATCCACAGATGGTTGAATCCATGGATATGGAAGGCTATGTGCATACACATATATTTATGTGTCTGTATAACCACATGGAATATCTTTTAACAAAATTAATTTTAAAGTAAACTATCAATATTTTGCATTTAACAAGTTTGAAATGCAAAATATATGTAGATTTATGAGGCTTATTTTTATATTGATGGAAGTGTTACCATGGAAGAATGTTTCAGTTTTCCCTGTTAGCCTCGATGAGAACAAGAGCGCAATAAACAGAATGGTTGACATGGGAAAGGCTGGTGGCTAGAAGGCTAATGCCATCTCTGTCTTCAATTTAACATTAGAGAGCAGCCTGTAAGAAGGGCTTTTCCTTCACTGTTACCTATTTTTACCTCAAGTACTTCTGCTACTCCCTTATAGTCAATTGAAACTCTCAAGAAATATCATAGAAAATCACAGAAAATCCTAATATGACTAGTACAGAATTTATTTATTTATTTTTTGAGACAGAGTCTCGTTCTGTTGCCCAGGCTGGAGTGCAGTGGCATGATCTCAGCTCACTGCAAGCTCCGCCTCCTGGGTTTAAGCGATTCTCCTGCCTCAGCCTTCTGAGTAACTGGGATTGCAGCCATGCACCACCACACCCAGCTAATTTTTTTTTTTTTTTTGAGACAGAGTTTCACTCTTGTTGCCCAGGCTGGAGTAAAATGGCACGATCTCGGCTCACTGCGATCTCTGCCTCCTGGGTTCAAGCGACTTTCCTGCCTCAGCTTCCCCAGTAGCTGGGATAACAGGCATGTGGCACCACACCCAGCTAATTTTTTGTATTTTTAGTAGAGATGGAGTTTCTCCATGTTGGTCAGGCTGGTCTCAAACTCCCGACCTCAGGTGATCTGCCTGCTTCAGCCTCCCAAAGTGCTGGGATTACAGGCGTGAGCCACCACGCCTGGCTGACACAGCTAATTTTGATATTTTTAGTAGAGACAGAGTTTCGCCATGTTGGTGAGGCTGGTCTCGAACTCCTAACCTCAAGTGATCTGCCTGCCTCAGCCTCCCAAAGTGCTGGGATTACAGGCGTGAGCCACCACGCCTGGCCCAGAATTCTTAATATAGAATTGACAGTGAATCTAGCACTACGTTATTCCTGGAACCTGCAGGAATAACTTCTAGCTTCAATGAACTTAACCAGAATTTTTAGTCAGAACATCTAGAAGAAGCCATTTAAAATTCAGATATATGTTTTTTATCAACGTGGAACAAAAATTATTTTACTAAATTTGGTGAGGAGTTTCTGACAGTTTTTTGGTGTTCTAGACATGTAGAAGTCTTTATCTGACCTGTCTTGAATTCACCCTGCTTTGATGTGCTAATAGAGGATATTATTGTAAATGTCAATATAGTTGTGCTACACTTCACATAGTAAGAACAGGTGAACAACTTGCCATCAGGAGACACTTAAGTGTTTTTTTTTAATGTGCATTTACTAATTCATTCATTGTCTTACCCACACCCCTTCTTAACAAAGGTAAGCATTTGTGAAATGGTTGACTGAAGATACAATATAGTCATGGGTGAAAAAAGCAAAAGCTGGTTAATATGAGTTTCAGTACGAAATCATTGATGTTACCTTCAGTATCAGAATGTGAAAAACCAGCTAAGTCCAGCATTTCCTCCTTCCCATTACCACCAATCAAGCCTAGTATGGCTATGCTTGTTTTGCCTCTTCTAAAGTACATTCAGTAAAAAAGCATTGTAAGCTAGGACTCCGTTGGCTTTGGTTTCTTTTCTTTTTTTCCCCATTCTTTCTTTTTATTATCTTCTATTCTTTACTCCTAGGGTCATCACACTGAAACAGTGTTCAACCGGGTTTTGCCAGGGCCTATTGCACCAGAGAGCAGCAAGAAGCGGGCCCGTAGGATGCGACCAGACCTTTCTAAGATGATGGCCCTCATGCAGGGTGGAAGCACTGGGTCTCTATCTCTGCATAACACGTTCCAACACAGCAGTAGTGGCCTACAGTCTGTGTCATCTTTGGGTCACAGCAGTGCCACTTCTGCATCTTTGCCTTTTATGCCATTTGTGATGGGTGGTGCAGCATCATCCCCTCATGTAGACTCCAGCACCATGCTTCATCACCACCACCACCACCCCCACCCCCACCATCACCACCATCACCATCCAGGCTTGAGAGCCCCTGGCTACCCCTCTTCACCAGCGACTACCGCCTCTGGTACTACCTTGCGGTTGCCACCACTGCAGCCTGAGGAGGATGACGACGAGGATGAAGAAGAAGAAGATGATTTATCTCAGGGCTATGATAGCTCAGAAAGGGACTTCTCACTCATTGATGATCCTATGATGCCAGCTAACTCAGACTCCAGTGAAGATGCTGACTGAAGCCCCAGCATGGGCCCCATTGCTTGGGCGGCTGCTGTATTTTTCATTTACTCTGGCCCTTGGACTATGGAAACGTGGGAGGGGCAGGGGAGATGTGGGGAAGTCCAGGACTCCAGGAGGTGAAAAGGAAAAAAAAAAATGTACCTGATTGCTCCCAATTATGAGAGGATTGGGTGGGCAGGGGAACTCCTAAAATAATACATGACCACTTCCTCATTTCTGGGGAAGGAAAGGAGACTAGAGCAGCTGGTGCGCTCACCCCTCCCTAGTCACCTCCATTAACCACAGACTATGTAGCGCTGGCCCTAGCCTCTGGCAGAGCCTGTTCCTGGCCGAACTGTGGATACAGCTGGAGGGTCAGGAACTGTTACCTTCCTTCCCTTGGCATTAATAAATTTAAGTTAATCCTTTTCCACTCTTCCTTGGTTCTATATTTGCTCAAACCCAATGTGAGCATTGATTTTGAGTTGTTCATAGTGGGTAATTTCAGCACCACTGTCCTTAAGTTCAATATTATTCATACTAAGTTATCTTGGATAGAGCAGACAAGTCATCTGTACTCCTCTAAAGGGTATATATAAATGTAGACTGTCCAGCTGGCTAAAGGCAAGGGAATTATTTAAGGTAAATGCTAGGTAGGCAAACTTCTGGATTCAAACTCCAAGTTTTTAAAAGAGACGGGGAGCAAGAATGTCATCAGGAACCATTTACATTTTGTTAGTAATTAACTGAAGTAACGGTTATTTGGGGCAATCCTTAGAATAGTGTCAGTTTTCATGAACTGCAGCAAGGGGACTGGCTCACTGGAAGGATGCTGCCACGACTGGCTCAGGCGTTGGGGTTGTGGGAAGGAACTAAAAGTTTGTGGAGCCCCTCAGGTCATTTGTTTCCTCTGACTTATACTATCCCACTGCTCAGTTAAAGCTTGGACATACTATTTTCCTTTCGAAAGCTAGGTTCCTCCCCATAGCTTGGGTCGTAGTTTATCGCGAGGCTGGGCTCCATTTCCCTGGTATGAGTTCTCTGTCCCCGCGGCTCGACCCAGCATCCTGGCACCGAGGATCCCTCCAGCTCTGGAGCAGTTAAAGGCTTTTGCATTCCCATCATTTCCAGGAGGGGCGCATGCCCAGTTACACTGTAGTATTACCACTTTTATCCCACGCTAGATCCTGCTCTTTCCGCTCCCCCTTCCTTTGCAGATGGGGTGGAGCTATTACACCCGCGCGCGGCAGCTCTTGTGGGGCGGTGCAGGCACCACCTCCTTCGCTTCGCCTAGCGGCTGCCGCCTAGGCAAAAAGTCTTGAGGTCCTGGAAACCGCGGCTGGGCTGAGTTAAGGGCGGAGGCAGAGCGTCACGTGACGACGTCGATTCGCGTGCGGCAGTGGCGAAGTTGACAAGAAAACCCCGCGAAAATCGACTGTTTGCCTCGCACATTTTGTTGATTTTCCCCCGTTTTTCTTTCTGTCTTTCCCCCGCCCATCCGAAAGAGGATTGGGGGGGGAAAAAAAAAAAAAGAAATCCCTAACGCTGTCGGGACCCGGAAGCGGAAAGGGCATCTTTGAGGTCGATACTTCCGGGTCATTGGGAGAGTGCGGGATTCCTGGGCCGAGAGCGGGTGGCGGAGCCGGGACCTCGCGTGATTCTCGGAACCCGAGGAGAAGCGGCGTCTGGGGCTATGGCTGTGACTCTGGACAAAGACGCTTATTATCGGCGAGTGAAGAGACTGTACAGCAATTGGCGGGTGAGGAAGATCCTGTAATTTTTCCTAGGGAGCCCCTTCAGCCATCCCATAATAACCCTGTTTCTCGGCGCCCTTTTTTCTCTTTCGGTCAGGAATTCCCGGGTTCAGTGCCTCACCCTTTTCGTTGCTCCCGAATCGTTCACCGGAGGCGGCCACGAACGCTGCCCCTTAACAGGGAGTCCCTCGCATTCACCCTGTCCTGCGGCCATCACCATCTTCCCCGCGTGCCAGCCTTGGTCATGCATAACAGCACCTCTCGCAATCTCTTCCCGCCCTAGAAGAGGCAACATCCTTCCCCCCTGCTTAGTGGTCACGTCTCGTTGCCCCTTCCTGCCGTGTTCTCACGCACCCACGCACTCGCTCTGTCCCTTCAAAACCACAATATTCCACCCCTGGTCCCGCCAGGGTTATAACCGTCTTCGTAAAGAAGAGATGGAAGGGCAAGAAGGATGTCAATCGGGCTCTTAGCGTTTATCGTTTGCGGGGCATTTCCTGGAGTTAAAAAAAGAAATACTGCTCACGCGCAACCGCCTCATGTTCTAGGCCCTGCTGTGGGTTACAGAGAGAGACCTAATGCTGAAAGCCTGCAGACATTAGTAATACCAAAACAAAACAAAACGATGCCTAAGACCTTATTAGTTCCTTGGTAGCGTATCCGGGGCACGTGTTCATTAAAAGAGCTGTGGCAGTTCCCAGTTTTTTAAAGATTCGGCAGTTTTGCTGCTTTAAAATCGTCCACAGTTAAAACTTATTTTTATGATGTTAACTTACTAATTGAGCAAACATTTGGTTGCATTCTGTGATGTAGTCTGAGTTGGCTAGCTTAAGTCTTGCCCTTGAACCCTGTCATTAAGGGAAGATACAACTAATAAAGATTTTTTTTTAACCTGAAAAACGTTTTGAGAAAAATGATCAATTCTCATTTCAGCATTGTAAATAATTATCTTTCAAACTGATCATCTACTAAAACCAAGCCATTAAAATTGGTTGTTTCCTTGCCATTCATATTAAAGGTGCCCGTGCTTGTTTCATCTTTTGAGGCTAAATACATTAAATAATTGAAAATAAAATTGATTCTCTGTTGCATTTTATGAAAAGGAAAAATAAGAACTAAATGGTAGATGAATGCTGAACATTTTATTTTTAAAATTTTTTTGATTTTCTACCGAATGATTTTTTGCACCTTCTCTCAGTGTCTCATTATTATTTGAACATAATCTATGTTAGAAAAACATTTTAAAATCTTGATACTTTCTAATGATCAGTAAGTACTAAAAATCCGAAACCCTCTCTTCTACCCATAAACCCTGAAACTATAAACCTTTGATACGAAAATTGTTTCTAGTCTCAGTGATTCAGATTCATCAAATCATTTCATTCTCTCTATATCATTCATGAAAACTAATCTGTAGCTCTAAATTCCCTTTCGTTACAAATTAACTGTGGCCTGGCAAACCTAAAATAAAATGATCGTCTGTAAATCCGTGAAAGTTATTTCCCACCCACCGTTTTTTTTGTTTCTCAAAAATCACTGAAGTTTATCTTGGTCCTCTTACTACCTTAATGACATCATCTTGGGAGAATGGTAGACATTGATAAGACACTGATGGTGTAAATAAAGTTATGCGCCAAGTCTATGTAAAAATGTACCAGTTAACAAAACCTGTGGATGAAAAACTTAGTTGAATAAGACTTTTTATTAACACAAAAGACTGCTTTTGTGTTAATACGTCCAGAACCCACCTGTAGAAGTTCTTTGTTTATGCAGTCTTTTCAGCCTACAGTGCTTCCATTCTGATATACTTAGTATTAGAGATAGTAGTTTCCTGGGTTAAAGCTGGTTGTTTATCCTCCTGGATATAGCAGAAAGATAGTGGGATATATAGGTGTGTTGTATAACTTTTTTCTCTTTTACACCTTTTCTTTTTTTAATGAGAAAACTGGGATTGAAATAGAATAAATTGAAGTTAATGGTAAAAATTCCAATCCTGACTGGGCACCGTGGCTCATGCCTGTAATCCCAGCACTAGGCCAGGAGTTGAAGACCAGCCTGGGCAAGATGATGAGGCCCCCGTCTCTACAAAAAAAGAAGCAGCAAATAAATTAGCCAGGCATGGTGGTGTGTTCCTGTAGTCCCAGCTACTTGGGATGCTGAGGCGGAAGGATTCCTTGAGCCCAGGACTTGAGGCTGCAGTGAGCTGTGATCGCGCGACTGCACTCCACCCTGGATGAAACCCTGTCTTTAATAAATAAATAAATAAATAAATAAAAGAGAGAAATCCCAAGCCTTTTGCTTTCAGCTTCCATCTGAAAAAAAAACAACTCAGTTGTGACTAAAATTAACTAAAAAATGATTTGGGCTCCACACCCACTTTTTAATTTTAAATACTCTTGATTATAAGCCCTTAAAAGCTGTAGTAGTTGAACCTGGTAGTTCCAGCACTCCAAATACAAGTACACAGGATTGTAGAGAACTGATAAGCTACTAACCTTTTTCTTTCCTTTTTTAAAAATAAGAGTAGGAACTAACCTTACCTATCTGCAAGTTAATTTTCAGTTAGGTACCTATTTTGAGGCTATTGCAAATAAAATATACTATTTATTAATTATAACTTTCATAACTTACGCCTAAAAACAATTGCAGTTATCACGTAATTTTAACTGAATAGAAATTTCAAAAGTATTAAGCCTTGTATCTAAGTAAACCGTGTCATTTTAGAGATGGGAAAATGGAGTTAGTCAAAAATCAACAAGAGACCTTTTACAATGACTAGAACGTACTACTGTTTTATGACTCCTGGAGGTTTGAGTCTAGATCCAGTCTTGCCTCTTTTTTTTTCCCCCCCCCAGACGGAGTCTCGCTCTGTTGCCCAGGCTGGAGTGCAGTGGCCGGATCTCAGCTCACTGCAAGCTCCGCCTCCCGGCTTCACGCCATTCTCCTGCCTCAGCCTCCCGAGTAGCTGGGACTACAGGCGCCCACCACTTCGCCCAGCTAATTTTTTGTATTTTTTAGTGGAGACGGGGTTTCACCATGTTAGCCAGGATGGTCTCGATCTCCTGACCTCGTGATCCGCCCGTCTCGGCCTCCCAAAGTGCTGGGATTACAGGCTTGAGCCACCGCGCCCGGCCAGTCTTGCCTCTTATTTTTTAAGTGAGAGCTGCTAAGAGCAGAAAGGATTTGCAGCACCTTCTCTATATTACTAGAATATCCCAAGTGGTGGTGGTGGATCATGGAAATGGGCTGCATGCTTCTTTGTCCTCTTATGCTTGCTAGATCCTTATTCAGAGATTGCCAGCCTTTTCATGATTATGATTATTTTTAACCAAGTAATATGATTAGTGCTGCTCATTGGGAGAAACAAAAGAGGTTATCTACCATCCTAAGGTTCCAGCTGCTTTGAGGACTGAGGGGCACAATTTCCAGGCATATCTGATTATCATTTGAGACCTACCTGTTGGGACATTCTGCTCTGAGTGGACCTTGACTTCATTCATCTGCCTTTTATCTCAAAGAATTCCATAAAATGTCAAAAAGATTTGTTTTCAGAAGGAATACTCACATTCATGTGAGCCTACTCCAACTGTCAGGATTGGGGGGGTGGAAGACTGACCCCCAAAGAAACTTTATGCCTTTGAAGAAGCTAATGAATTAAAGTGTCATTGCTTCTCTTGAGTGGAGCTTTCTGGCTCTTTGCACATTTTTATGGTAGCTTAGTTTCTTGTTCTGGGTTCTCTTAAGATTCAACAGCTGTGTTCTGTGGCTCAGGAAGGATTTTAAAAAATATGTAGTAGCTTATACCTGTATAATCCCAGCTACTCCAGAGACTGAGGTGGAAGGATTACCTGAGTCCAGGAGTTTAAGACCAGCCTGGGCAACATAGTGAGAGCCTATTTCTAAAAAAAAAAAAATTCAGTCTTCCATCTGTGTCTGTTGGGGATTGGTTCCAGGACATACCTAGTTACCTAAATCAAAGGATGCTCAAGTCTCTGATACAAAATGGCATCATGTTTGCATAGTCTATGTATATCCTCTCATTATTTTTGATTTCTGGATTACTTTAATACCTAATACAGTGTAAGTGCTGTGTAAATAATAGTTATACTTAGTTTTTAGGGGGTAATGACATAGAAAAATGTTTGGCCATTTTAATTTTCAGTACACAGTTGAATCCACAGATAAGGAGAGCTAGCTGTATACACATTTCCTGTTATTTCAGTCCCGCAGAGGATTACTTTCACTCACTCACCTCTTAACAGCTCCTTTATCTCTGGAGTGGGATAGAGAGAGGTTTTTTTGTTTTTGTTTTTGTTTTAAAGAGTTTCACTCTGGCTGAGGCTGGATTGCTGTGGCACAGTAACAGCTCACTGCAGCCTCAACCAACCCAGCCTCAGGTGATCTTCCACCTCAGCCTCCTGAGTAGCTAGGACCACAGGTGCATGCCACAACAGTTGGCCTTTTTTTTTTTTTTTTTTTTTTTTTTTTTTTTTGAATTTTTTGTGGAGAGAGGGTTCCACCGTGTTGTCCCAGGCTGGTCTCAAACTCATGGGCTCAGGCGATCCACCTACCTCAGCATCCCAAAGTGCTGAGAATACAGGTGTAAGTCACTGCACCTGGCCAAGAAACTTTTTAATAATGCTGAGTAAAGAGGGTTAGATGGAAATAAATGCCCAGGTGGATTGAGATTTTTTTAAAATGTTGCTTACTCAGCTTTTATAATCTAGTTCTCCACTTTTGTTGTTGTTGTTGTTTGTTTGTTTGTTTGTTTGTTTTGAGACAGTCTCACTGTGTCACCAAGGCTGGAATGCAGTGATGCATTCTCAGCTCACTGCAACCTCTGCCTCCCGGGTTCAAGTGATTCTCATGTCTCAGCCTCATGAGTAGTTGAGATTACAGGTGTGTGCCACCATGGTCGGCTAATTGTTGTATTTTTAGTAGAGATGGAATTTCACCATATTGGTCAGGCTGGTCTCTAACTCCTGGCCTCAAGCAATCCACCCGCCTCAGCCTCCCAAAGTGTTGGGATTACAGGTGTGAGCCTCCACACCCAGCCCTAGATCTCTACTTTTGTATTTACTTTTTATCCCTATTAACAACTACAGTGCCTGGCATGTAGTAGTCACTCAGTGAACAGTGGTAACTGATTATATGGGTATTTAGCTATAACCAGACTGCAAAAATATTTTCTTTTTTTAAGGCAGTATCCCATTTGGTTCAAAGGAAGATAATTGTTCTTCTACTGCACTGTTTCTCCAACTTTTGTCATCCAGATACCACCTTCACAATTTTTGCAGATTCTTTGCCATCTGTTTTATATTTTACTTAACTCTCACTTTAAAAATTATTTTAATCAGTAATATAGTTTTTTAAAAATCGTAGTTCTAATAAAAGCCTTAAAACAAAAAGTCACCTGTCCCAGAGGCAACCACTTCGAGTTTTTTGTTTCTTTCATATTTCTAAATAATATCTGTGTATACTACTGTTTCTTGATTTGTGGATTTTTAACCGTTATTAACTTATGGTAGATCTGAATTTAACTTCTTTGTATCATCACACTCATTCCAACTTCCCTATCTCCTAATACCTTAACATTTTTCTCCTGACACATTGATACGAAAAATTTTACAGACAGGTTGAGTTTTAAGTACACCCTATATACCCACCACCCATACAGTTAACATTTTGTTATACTTGCTTTATCACACATCCGTCCTTCTTAATAACTTTTCCCCACAAGTTTTAGTAAAATCAGTAGTTACTATTTACATTGTTTATGTTCATATAAATGTTTTCATTGCTGGGTGAAGTAATAAAGTGTGATTAACTTTCCTTTTTTTTTTTTTTTTTTTTTTTTTTTTTTCAGTTTTTTATTTTTCCTGGCATTAATGATTTCCTCAGTTTTTCTCCTTTAAAAAAAAATCTCCCTAGCCTTAATTTTCTCCAACAGGTCTATCATAGTGTTACCAATCTTTTATTCCAAATTTCTCACACTCATTG